AAATAATATATACTGTATTTATTTTATTATAATATATTTTACAATATATATTGTCTACAGATTATAAATATAAATTAATCTTCCTTTAATACAACAGACGTTCTTTTTAATGACGATGGCGATGAAACAGTAATTGACATTTCTGAGGATTCTGAAATAGCCGATTCCAGCTCCATAGAATCCTCAGAACTATTCAATATTTTACGCACAGTACATGCAATCACTGTTCTAAAAGAAAGAAGAGCATGGATGAAAGAGTAAACACCCACCGGGGTCGTTAATAGAAGTTTTAATAGAATTTTCACTTTATCAAGCAACAAGACTCTATATAAACCGGATTCCTTGTATATATGATGAAACTCCACAACATCTCCGGCAACGTTGATTGTAAATATTGACATGTATCTCATCGCCAATTTTTCAAATTTTCTTTTATGCTTTGATAACTTAGTTACATCAATAGAATCTTTGCCAAGCCTGTTGAGTTTTTTGTGATCCCGTATTTGTTTGTCTAGAGATGATTTTGGACAACCTGTTTCAAGATATCCAATCTCAACTTCTATGTTAGACACTTGAGCAACAACCATATAATCAGGACATCTTGCTCGTTGATATGACCCCTTCCTTTCTGCACTGGCTGAGCTCGCTTTTTCTCCTCTTTTTCATTTAAAAGTATTAGTATTTTAAATAATATGTAAAAAGAAAATAAAAAATAAATCATACCATATTCCCCATACATCAGAATCTACAGGTAAATCACTTATTATAATATTTATTAATGGCGATAAAACCTCTGACACATATGACCCCTCATTTATGAGAGACAATTGGCTTTCCCTACATGCCTTCCATTTGGGAGAAGACCAAACCTGATTTAAAACTATCAAAATCTGATTTGTTAGTTCTCTCAATTTCTCAGGTTCATCCAAAAATTTACCAAATATTGCATCCCCATATACTCGAGAAGGTCTATTATACTTTTCTTGTTTCTCTTGAACGAACTTTTTGCAAATATCCTTTAACATGGTACTCGTAGACAATATGAAATTTTTCCTCGAATCTCTAAAAATTTCTATAGATTGTTTAGTCATATTCGTAAATGGTTTAAAACTTTCATCTAGGATTCCTGAGCATAATGGGTGGTTGTATCCCAACTTCTCCACATCTATTTTATACAACTGATCTTCTATTTCTTCCCACATATTCTTTTCGTTCCCTGATGTTTCCGATGCCAACTAATTACAGATTTATTAGTTAATTTACAAAGAATTTCTTAAACAAACCAATTTTTACAAAAACAAATCTGTTGCACGATTTCTTTTAGATTTTTGAAATTCTTCTTCGCATCAACTATCCAAGGATTTTCACATTTTATAAACGTGTATATATTTTTTTTATCATAAAATTTGATTAGATTTTTAAGACATAACTGAATCAACATACTAGGACGTCTAACTCTAATGAAGAACGAACGTATTCGAATGCGTCCGAAATCTGGAATAAGCAAAAAAAAAAATGAATTATCCAAATAAAGCTAATTATGCAGTAATATCCATGTACATACAATCAGATTGGTTTTCTTTTTTTATATGAATTTCAAAACTAGCCGGCTAGTAATAAAATATACCTTAAGAAATCTGCATAAAGCATTTTGTGCATATAAATAGCTACTCCCAACGCCCTCTCAATATTACTCAAGAAACCGAAGTCCATTCACTATTCATATACTACATTATGCGTCATTCATATCGGTAACGAAGAGTTATAAAAATTTTGAACCATATCCCTCAATTACCATAAATATTTCTATAACTCCCCAAGAAAACTAATTTTTCATCATATTGGGTGTATTTGCTCCAAACTAATAACAACTGTAATAGCTTACGCATTGTTTCAAAAGATCGCCTTTTCTGAACTTATAAAGCTGTTCAAGCCTTGACCTATCTTTGACAGATTGAATTGCACTATCAAGCGTTTTTAGAAAGTTCTCCAATTCTTCTTCTTTATTATCTGTCCATTCTCCTGCCTCAACCCGCTTACATAAAGCGGTGAAGATAGTGACAGAAGAAAGAGGAGTAAAAGAAACAAGGAAAGATTCCATTTTGAAGCTAAGAAATAAAAGAAATGTAATTAGAATTTGCTAACTAATCCTAAGAAAAGCAACAAATAATGATAACTATAAGTTATGGGTTATCGTTATATTAGTTTTGTGATTTTTTGAAACAGGTGTAACGTTTCTAAATTTGGTTTAACGATTGAAATTCTTATGGTTCTAGAAAATTAATCAATTTTTTTTTTTTGTGCTACCTAGGAAGATTATTAGTCAACCTCGGAAGACTTGATAATATAGCGCTTCAATTTTTTTAAATAGTATAAAAGTTTAAAGCTTTACTGCTGCTAATAGAAAGGTCTAATCTATATATTACGAGGTTTTGGTAAGAATTTACAGCATTTTGAAAATTTGTTACTAGCGACGAATTTTTAATATATATAATTTTTTTTTGATCAATGAATTTATAATAAAAATGATCAACGTGTACTCTACCCTTAAAGATATAAAAAAGAGATATCTAAGTATAAACTTGTGTGAGTAACAAGTTTACTTAGATGTAAAAAGCTAGTTTACTTAATAAACTTATAAGACAAAGTAAGTTTTTTTCAGAGAGAATTTTTGTACAAGTGATCGTTGGAAAGAGTTAATGATTTACTATATAATATGTAATACTATTAGATTTGTCTTTAAAAGATGAATTAAACAATATAAAAATCGTCTAATACCAATCACTAGATCTTGAGCTATTAAGATTGGCCACAATACTCTCTTTACCTTATATATTTTATCTATACTTTAAAACATGTGCATGCGTTTGATCCCTGCTACACATTAATTTAGATATTGTATATACACCATTTGTTTTTTTTTAATTCATGATCCGCATATGAACCAGTGAAAAAGCATAGTAAATTGTGGGGATATGTTTACTACAGTCAGATCTCCCTAAATGCATATATATAAAAATCCTCACTAAATGCATATATATAAAAAACCTCCCTAAATGCATATCTTTTCTTGGGCTCAACTAATATAACACTTATAGATTTTTACCTCCTAAATGCATAACTTCTTTAAATGCATATTTTTTTAATTTTTACTATGGGTTCAACCAGTGTTGGAAAACATATGTTTACAGTGTTCACAAGAGCATAAATTTTTTAAAAAAATCAATTTTTTATTTTATATTCACATTTGTGAACATAAATAATTTTTATCTAATTAATAAAATTTTATTTATGATCATTATTTTTTTTAATGCGAACATGATAAAAAACAAAGTATGTTCACAAAAATTATCATACTGTCTTATGAATTTCTAACATGGTTCAATGCTATGTATTTAGAAAGGTCTGACTTATATGATTTTTGCTCTTTTTGGAATATAGAGCTTTCCAAAGAACAAATCATTTTTTATTAAATAAATATCTCTTTTATTTCTAACAAAAGTTGTAGAGAAGAAAATTCTGATTTTAATAATAGTTAAACTATCAAAATTGGCTCAGTGGTTTATGAGATATGAGCATTTTAATTTTCTTAGCTATATGTTTTCTTCTTTATACAGTATGGAATAACAAAAAATATCTAATATTTTTAGACAAAGCACCAAATTTACAATTATTTAATCAATTTTGATTGGTTAATTTTATATAAAAAATTTTAATTAGTTAAAAAAATATAAACTATTTTTTTATATAGTAAATGCCAAATTTTTAATTTTTAATAATGAGCATTAATCAATAAAATTGCTAGCATGTGTCTTGTACTAAATATGATTAATTAATTTTATTGTGCTAAATTTCTATTTTTACTAATAAAATTATCAAACTTTGATCCCTTATAACTTTTGTAAAAAGCAAGATATTACAAATCTGTCTTATAGATTTGTAGTTTGATTTATAAATAATAAATCTGTAAAAGAGATTTTTAAAATAATTATTTGTTATAAAATTATTAGATATTTAACAATTGCTAAAAAATTGGATGTTTTTGTTGTCCTGTACTGTATAAACAAAGAAGAAAATATATAATTGTGAAAATTAAAATACTTATACATATTTCATGATCTACTAAATCAATTTTAGTGTTTTAACCACCATTAGAACTGGAATTTCCTTCTGTTAGAAGCAGAAGAGGGTTTATGTAGTAAAAAATAAATTTGTCCTTTGGGAAACTCTAAAAAAGACTAAATACTAGGAATGGAGTGATATTGAAAATTTCATGAAGTGCATGGTTATTTGGCAATTTAATGATGTTATTCCACAAAATCTTGCAATCGATTGGGTATTATATTGTATAGTGTAAGGGTGTGAGTGCAGATTTGATTTTTTACATACAACTTCATCATCAGATTCTAAAATTGGGAATGGCTAAAGCTAGGGTTGTTAATGGGTTGGGTTGGGTTGGTTTGGGTTGACCCAGTCTTCAACCCACTCCACTAAATTAGACTTACTCCAATGTTTTGCTCCGGGTTGCTCTATAGTACTCCGGGTTACTCTAGGTTGCTTCAAATTTAAAGACATAATTTTAAACCCACTCCAATTTGGGTTGGGTTCTACTCCGGAGTGCTCCAGAGTAAGCTACTCCATTAACAACCCTAGCTAAAGCTATGCCTGGTTAGAGGTTACTTTTATGATGCATTTACGGTTAATATTTATAATATTAATATTAATGTTAAGAATGAGATTATACAATATGTAGATCAATATGTAATATAGACTTATCCATAAAAATTGAGATACGTATGATGATCTCGTGTTTGAATTTTCTAAGTAGTCCATTAACGGTTTTTTTTAAAAAAAATAATAATAATAATAAAATTGTAGTGAAGAGATTGTTAACAAAATGACAAAGGAACTGTTTTGATAATCAGCGTAGTTAAAAGTTGTTGTTCAGTAGTGAGAGGTCATTTTTTGCTCATTTTAACTCGGCAGCTAAGGCAATGATTGATACTTGGTTTAATAGGTTAAATGGTAATAGTAAGTAACGTCAAGCTTGGCAGCTGAAATAGCAGCGCAAGAAACATGCCGGCAGTAATTAGACCCGCAGTTGCGGTAGTGGTGCAAGAACCTTGTTTGGTGGTAATTAAGCACTGCGAATATAGTAGCAATGCAAAGATCTTTGTAAGATAGGCTTGGGACTTTGAAGTTACAAAAGACCATCTGTTGAATTTAGAAGCATCTTTATCACTTCATGAGTGACAACATAATCGATTCACTTTGAAGCTACATGGATCTCTCCTCAACAACCTGTCTAGGCATTATAGTTTGATCGAGATTATAAGATAGTTTTGTTTAGGCGTAGTAGTTTCAATACGTTAAGAGTGGGCTTATAGCCAGTTAATTTGAATAGCATTGTTTGCTTTGGAGATACAGTATAATATTTCAGTTATAGAAGGTTGAGCCTGTAATGATAGTGAGCAGATTCCTATATACTTTTCATTGTGTTTTAATAAAGTCATTTGTCACCTGATTGAACAATAATAATTGAATTTTTGATAGATTGAATTTCAAATTGAGAGACACCGGTAATGTTATAGTGCTGTTCATTATGAATTGTAGCATCATTGCCAAAAATTTCTTGGCATGCAGCACTTTCAACTTTCAGTAACTTTTATTAAAGAAAAAAACTAATTATAATTGGCAGAAAGACTTTGTATCCAAAATTTGCAAGCTAGAACAATTTTAACTGAATATCTCAAATCGAAATAGTACTTAAGAACTGTAGTTAAAATGAATACCGTATATCTCCGAATATAAGCAACCCCCAAATAAAAGAAACCTCCAGATTTTGAAACTGAAAATTTGCAAAGGTTAAGTTTACTAGTAAAATTATTTCTGAATATAAACGAACTCTTTATCTTCAACTCGAAAAAATGTGTAAAATTGCTGTTACTATATATTTAAAGATATACGGCAAGTATAAAAACTTTATATACGATCTAAGTTTTTAAAAGGACAATTATTTTCCTGCATTTTGGCAAATCTTGAGTAGTTAGTTAAATTCCGTTCCTGGTTTTGCGCGATGGCGTCGCGCAGCTATCTAGTTTAATAGTAAAAATTACCTGATTTTCATATAATCATTCACTGGTTCACACGCGAATCACGAAATAAAAAAAAAAAAATTATATTGTTTAGCGTGGGGTTTGAGTCAACTAAAGATATTATTATCAATATTATATATTATTAATATTATATTAGTTAGATATACAAGCGACTCATTCTTATGAATTAATCTAGTACATACGTGAACTATCCATTTTATAATGTCCATTTTCTTGTGTTTTGCGGCAATCCATCTGAGTTACTCTATTTCACGGTTACAATTATTTAACTATGATTATCATTCACCCTACCCTATTTTTCATACTCGTGTTTGTTTTCTTAAGCAATACTTATTTTGTGGAGTGAGATAAAAATTCAAAAAAGAAAATTTAATGCAAAAATGAATCGACATAGATATATAATTAAAAAGAATTGACAAAAATGAAAATGAAACTTTTTCAAATGACTTCTCAAGATGAAATTATACAGAACAACATTCACTAACAAGTTTACAAAGTTACAAGAGGAAAAGCAACATTCTATATTCATCGTAAAAAGGAAAATATTACCGAGATTTGAAATTAGAAATGCAATGCCAAAATTATGATGTTAAGCTAAATCTGTAGGTTAAACCAAGAAATTTGTCAAAATCAGAGATAGCACACTACAGTCTATTGAGAAAGAATTCGATTTAGCAATGGAATATATGATACAGTTGACGCACGAACCAAATTTATACCATAAGAGGAACGAACAGGAAGTAAAATGATTGCATTGCGAATAACAGAGATTTTGATGAGAATATCAACTGACCATTATCTTTTAGATAAATAATTAATTAGGTATAGAAAAGGTCTGCCTTGCTTTCAAATTACTTAAATATATATTATGCTAATTTTAGGGATGTGGGAAGCTTGGTTTGATTTGGTCTGGTCTGGTTTAATATAAATTCTAATTTATGCAGATAACGCAACAATCAAATTTGAATTAAAATAAACCAAATCG